TTAATATTATATATTTTCAAGGACAGATTTTTTATATTATTAATTAGGTTATGCCGAGGTTATGTCAAGGTTACGTAATAATAATGATAATTAATAATAATAATAATAATAATAATACGTAATAATTATTTTCTTCTTATTATTATTAATATTATATATTTTCAAGGACAGATTTTTTATATTATTAATTAGGGTATGCCGAGGTTATGTCAAGGTTACGTAATAATAATAATTAATAATAATAATAATAATAATAATAATAATAATACGTAATAATTATTTTCTTGTTATTATTATTAATATTATATATTTTCAAGGACAGATTTTTTATATTATTAATTAGGTTATGCCGAGGTTATGTCAAGATTACGTATACATAACACAATAATAATATATAACAACAATTACAACGATGACGATCATGCAAGTTTGATCACGGCAGGAATTTATGACAACTTGCCATAAGATCTAATATTTTAAGAGATGCAAGAGACTCCGCGGTTCGCGCCGCGAAGACCATAACCGCGGACAAAAGATCCGCGGACAACTAGCATAAATAAACGAACTGTACGGACAATTTTGAATGCTGTCACGTACCAGAGGGACGGTGCACTGCGAGATTACCATGATTAACATCTATAGAAGGAAGTGTTCTACTTTCGTGTGAGTAAAAGAGAAACGAAGGATGGAAAAGCAACCGGGCAAGAGAGTCGCAGGCGTCTCTCGAATAAAAGTAAATGCAACTGGTGCGCCGATGGGAACGAAAGGGAGAACAGAAGGTGGAAAATTAGCGAAAATTAAGGCTCCGGCCGAGGTAATTGCGGCGGCCAGGGCGGCAAAGTTTACGGGGTTAAGGACTTTTGTATGCTCGCCCGAGCTAATACTGCGCGAAACCTTTGTATGTTAATGCCAGCGAGCCGTGGAACTCGAATTGTTTACGAAACACGGTAATCGTACTAGAACACGTTGCGCGTATAATCTTCTTTTCTAATTTTCCGCGTGCATTCGCTGCTCGTGCTACAGTTGTTTACTGAAACTCGGACGTCCTTTTGACATAGTTGCGCTTAAAAATCGCAGATAATAATTGCACCGTTTTTGTTTCGAATTCAACCGTTGCACGAATAATAAACAACTATCTTTAATAAACTATTGTAATTGACATTTTTCTTATTCAAATAGATTAGATTGCTAATTTTGAATCAATTTAATTTAATAAATAACTTAATAATATATTAGTATTACAATTTTCTGTAGGTTGCGAAATCATGTTTCATTTATGATTATACATTTTAACGTTAAATAAAAGTATGCAATTTTTATTGCAATGTATTCTTTAATAGAAAAATTGAGTTTGACATAGTTGCACTAAAAAATCCCAGATAATAATTCAACCGTTCTTGTTTCGAATTCAACCGTTGCACGAATAATAAACAACTATCTTTAATAAACTATTGTAATGGACATTTTCTTATTCACATGGATTGCTAATTTTGAATCAATTTAATTTAATAAATAACTTAATGATATATTAGTATTGCAATTTTCTGTAGGTTGCGAAATCATGTTTCATTTATGATTATACATTTTAACGTTAAATAAAAGTATGCAATTTTTATTGCAATGTATTCTTTAATAGAAAAGTTGGGTTTGATGACAGCATCCTTACGATTTCGAAAATTATAACGAGTCAATAATAAATTTCACGTATTTGCGAGAAATATGAAGAAACGACACACTAAACAATAAAAAAATCGAAATACTATTGTTACTTTCAACTTATTCTGTCTCTATTTTGCATAAAGATTCTCGATCAAGCCCATTCTCAATAAAAAAAGTAACAAATGTATGCTTTTATCAGAAATTGAACAAGTTGAATATTTATTATTATTACCATTTACTATTTACTACTTCCACTTGATCTTCTCATTCTTTTCTATGCCGATTTTTCACGTAAAATTACAGCACACGCAGAAATAAATAAAAAAATTCGTGATACATGCACGATCTAGAAGCAGAAAAGAATAAATCTTGCACATCGAGGTTATAATAAATAGTGAATAATAAAATGATAAAATAATAAAATAATGAAATAAATCTTCTCATTCTTTTCTATGTCGTTTTTTCACGTAAAATTACAGCACACGCAGAAAGAAATCAAAGAATTCGTGACACATGCACGATCTAGAAGCAGAAAAGAATAAATAATAAATAAGAATAAATAATAAAATAATAAAATAAATGAATAACCGCAATCGTCGATTACTTTAGCATCGCCGGTACAGCGTTCGAAGATACGTAACGATTCCGAGCAACGTGTTATTTGGAGAACGGAGAAGTATCAAACTCAGCTACCACTTCTGAGTCAGAAGTTCCGACAGCGGCTGAGTACGAAATAATTGACACGTTACCGGCGTATTTTAAATGGGCCGCTCCGAATGTAATTGATAGTTTGTTTGCTCGTCCAATAAGTCTTTTAACCGAAAGACATGCTCTCGCGGATAACGAGATATACAATAACTTGTTAACGGCACGATCGATCACGCGGCGATTTCAATTTCGTTCGACAGCCGTTATTATTTTCGACTTTGTTAATACGGTTGCCAACGCGCGAAACCGTGCTCTAGAACAAATTTAAGAAATGGCGCCTGTGAACGGCGAAGTCCGACCGTAACGACACCCGTCATTAATGTTAACTTATATTTGCGTTGCGCGCGGATTTTATGGTTGATCGGCTCGTTTAAGTGCCGCATTATTAATGTTGTTAATTTATAACGCTGTCATAGCTTCTAACGTCGTTATGTCTTCCGTCCTAATCTCTTGTAGCGTTAAACATTTCCATCGATTCTTGTTAAATTTCGCGCGCCGCGCTGTTCTCTTTTGCTTCGGCTGCAATCGAATATGGAATCGGCCGCGAAATCTTGCCGTTTCTTTCTTCCGTTGAAACGACGAACGTGCAGAAACGAACGAACCGATTTCGTAGCACGCTTCGTGCAAAATTGAATAGAAACATTTCTTCTTTCAGCTCCGTTAACCCTTTGGTGTACGTTGACGAGTTCGACTCGTCGTGAGAACTCGTCGTAAATGACCTATCGATTAATTCATTATTTTGTCCTTTAACCCTTTGCACTCGAAGCCATTTTAATTGTAAATCTAAATTAATATTTCTGACTTATGATATTTCCATTTTATATAACAAAGCGCATTTTATGCATATGAAATTTATAGTCTTGCGACTCGTACAACAGTTAGACTTTTAACCATTTTTTCACGTCTAGATTTTTATAATATAAAAATTATCTTGGAACGTGACGTAACAGTTTCAATGGTGCCTCAGAGTCACCACTCGAGTGCGAAGGGTTAGATTTGGAATAAAATTCTACTCTCTTGTCACCGATATTTATGCATTTTCTCTTCCTTCTGAGAAATTATTGCAATTGAAAAAGAGAAATTATTTCTAATCGCAGCGACTGCGAAGAAAATGACATATTAAGAGGTTAATAGATAAAAATAACACAACATAATAAATATAACAAAAATAACATAACATCGTTGTTAAATAATTCCATTCAACGTTTCTACCATTTTGTAATTCGCCTGCTCCAAAAATCTAGATAAAATCTGGCCCATTCTTAATGCTTAATTTAATCGAGAAAAATTTATTTCGATACTGTACGCTCTATATGCAACAAAACCTTTTTCGCAGCGACTGCGAAGAAAATGGCATGCCAAGAGGTTAATAGATAAGTTAAAAATAACATAACATCGTCATTAAATAATTCTATTCAATGTTTCTACCATTTTGTAATTCGCCTGCTCTAAAAATCTAGATAAAGTCTGGTTCATTCGCAATGCTAAATTTAATTGAGAGAAATTTGTTATTTACATGATGTAAAACAAGTACAACGTATAGTGTGGCACGTGTTGACAGCCGCTACACGCGTGTGCACATAAATTAGTACAATGCAAAATTCAGAACATTTGTTCAACGGCATGTTTTAGTTCTCGTACCGGCGTGTTCCATTGTAATCGCTATGCAAAACATTTCATTAATGCGCGCAGATAATTGATCTATTGTGAAACGCGTACGAGACGTGTATTTTCTAGGGTAACAATATCATTTCCCGGCGAATTGAGCACAGAAACGAAAATTAGTTACGAGGAGAGCTCTTGACTAATATTTTTGTATAATTTCTCACCGCGAGCGAAAAAATTAGAACACTGCACACGTACGACTATTTCGTTAGTATTTAAATAGAATTAAAATTGTAATATCATTTCCCGGCGAATTAAGTACAAAAACGAAAATTAGTTACGAGGAGAGCTCTTGACTAATATTTTTGTATAATTTCTCACCGCGAGCGAAAAAATTAGAACACTGCACATGTACGACTATTTCGTTAGTATTTAAATAGAATTAAAATTAAATGGCACAACAAATAATAGTTAATTATAGAGGATAATTCTTTAAGTGCACAATGTATTTGAAAAATTCGTGTAGCTCGTTTACATCGATTACATCGGCGTAAGCTGTCGAAGAAAAGCTTCGGTCTTAAAAAGAGACGCTATCTCATTAGGAAATTTTAATTGAATGCAGATAATAATAACAGATTCGAGACAAATATCGCAGAGTACACGTGCGAAAATATATAAGAAAATTGCGAATTTAGCATCAGAACTGCAGGATTACGTCGAAAAGAGAATCTCGAAATTTTCTATCGCGAGATTATTATCGCTGAAACCGATCTTCTGCGAGAAATTCCTAAATTCATCGATTCGGATGCGCGCTGCAATGAAAATTTCGCAGAATCTGAGCGAACGCAGCCTTCGTTTTCCAAGATAAAACGTTTTCCAAGTCACTTTCGACATTCGATAAAAAACAATGTGAATCGCAAATACGAGAAAATTGCGAACTTCTTTGAGTTCAAGTTGAATTAAAGTCTAATTAAAAATGCAATAAAATCGCGATACATTCGATCGTAGACAATAGTTCACTGACTTACCAGGCATGAGTCTCCCTTGCGGCGGGTATCCCAAAACCTCCGATCCGACGAACGACATGACGATCAAAGTTCTGACAACTGTCATCTTCATTATCACTCCTGACTTTTACGATTGCTCGAATCACAATAGCCGGCGGGACCGTGACAGAGCTGTCGAATCACAGACGACTGACTCACGAACGTGAATGAAAGAATACTCTGTGAGACTGAACTTCTCCTTTTTTGCGAATACAATACGCGTGTGCGTGCGTGTACGTGTGTGCGAGAGAGAGACAAAAAAGAGAGGACGATCCGTTGTTGTTAAAATACAAGATCGATGCGTTGGAAGCCTACGGAGGTCTTGCTGTTGTCGTACTACGCGATGGTCTGGAGGGCCGGCAGGCGCTTTCACCGGTTTTATACGTGCGCAGGAAAGCACTTCTTCTCGAAAGGGTGGGGGGGATTCTGCACAGCTCTTTGATACGGCATTTATACGCAGGTATAATACGGTATACAAGCGGCTGTGTCGCAGATCCTCGTAAAATCTTTCGGGCTATTAACCCTTTGCGCTCGAGTGGTGACTCTGAGGCACCACTAAAATTGTTATATCACGTTCTGAGATCATTTTTATATTATCAAAGTTTTGATTATAAACATTATTGAAAGTGTGATCGTTGTATGAATCGCGAGACTCAATTTCGTACGCGTAAAATGCACTTTGTCTTGTAAAATGAAAGTACTACAAGTGAGAAAAATGATTTTAGATTTACGAGATCTTAGATATGTAAAAATTGTCTTAGAACGTGATATAACAAATTTTAGCGATATCTCAGAGTCACCACTCGAGTACAAAGGGTTAAGAAATTAACGATCGAATTAGCGGTGGCTCGTTTTATCCGACGACCGAAAATATAATTTGTAATAATTATTTCGACGTCGGCGAAATCGTCTTTACATGCTTTACAATGCTTCTTTTTATGAACCTCGAATCATTCTCTTAATGGCTTTATTTTGCTATCAGTGCGACGAGATACATTCGTCGCCGATGTATGGCCGAGAAATTAGATTTTAGGAGCTTTTTCACACTGTTTCTATCGGTTAATAATTTCTGTTTAACGCTATTTTTACCGAAGGGGTGGAAGGACGTCTTCTAATAATTTGTAATAATTTTTAATAAAAGTTGTTTCCTATGTTCTACGTGTATTATCTATGTGCAATAATGTCTCCCTAACTGACGCTCTGATTGTGCACAAAAATGGACAATTTGGGGAGAGGAGATACGATTATTCGAGCCTCGCGGCTCATTTTTATAGTTACCGATTTTCAGCAATTATAAAAGTGAGCCGCAAGGTTCGAATAATCGTATCTCCTCTTTCCAAATTGTCTATTTCTGTGGACAATCTGACCGTCAATTAGGGAGACATTACTGTAATCACTTCTCGACTCATTTCCTGTCCATTGCTGCATTTAACCCTTCGTATGCAACCTTGTACATGTGTTTCAGCTACCTGAAATGGGTACCCTTTACGAAAATTTGGTGGAGCGGAATTCAAATAGAATCAAAGGGCACATTCTATAAGCTTCCCTTTTCGTGAGTGGAGACGTTTCAGAGATTTCGAGATCACCTTGACTTCTTTCAATGGAACGACCTACTTCGTGTACCATGAATTGATAGAGCGACAAATTCTGAATAAAAATGTGTTAACCTCCGCATATTATAAACCTAATAGTTAATGAAATATCAACGAAATAATTTTTAATACGTACTTACAGACCGGAAGCTGAAGCAGCTGCTCGAACCGATGCCAATTAACTTCAATGCCACGCATTTACCGTATACCGGTTAATACATTATCAACCGTCGATGATTTTATAATTTACGAAAGTCCATGATTTACAGTTAAAAATTGCTTATTAAATTGTTCGGTGGTACCATTTCAATCGCGTACCAACGAGTCGTCCTTAGTGTTGCCTGCTTCGTGTTTCATTTTCGGTGAGTCACATTTTCGGAGTACAGAAAATTCTCTTGTAAACTCGCTTCTAAACAAAGATGGACAATTTGGAGAGAGGAGACGCGATTGTTCGAGCCTCGCGACTCGTTTTTACAGTCGCCGAATGTCAACAATTATTAGAACGAGCCGCGAGGCTCGAATAATCGTATCTCCTTTTCCCAAGCTTGTTTACGAGCCGAGGAACAATTGCAGAGAATTTACTGTAATTTACTTTCACGCAGTACATGAAAATGTAAATTGAATCCCATGTTGAATATTTTCCTGTATGTCCGCTCATCGACACGTGGGAACGACACGTTCGTGTCATCGCTTACTACATGGCTATCCGACACAAATTCTTTGATAATAGTGAAATATACAGTGGCTCGAAAATCAGGGAGAATAATCAGAGGTAATAATAATTAGGGCTCGATAATTAGGGCTCGGAATAATTAGGACTCGAATAATCGTATCTCCTCTTCCCAAATTGTCTATTTTTGTTTACCAGATGAAGAAAAATTAGAGAGAAAAATTAGGGCTCAATAATTAGAGCTCAGAATAATTGGGACTCGAATAATCGTATCCCCTATTCCCAAATTGCCCATTTTTATTTACAAGCTGCAAGAAAATTAGGTTAAATTTACTGTACTTCCTTTCAGTCATGAATTCAAGTCGTTAATTTAATTTAATAAAACCCTATATACAGTGACTCCCATGAATATTCGGGCACTTTTTAAAACGCAATAACTTTTTCAAAACTGCAATAAACGATTTGAATTTTTTTTAGATGACAGAGGGACTAGTATATTAGACAATGAAAAAAATGATTACAGTAATGTCTCTTTAATTGACGCTCAGATTGTCCCCCAAAATGGACAATTTGTGAAGAGGAGATCCGATTATTCCAGCCTTGCAGCTCGTTTTTATAATTGTTGAGAATCGGTAACTATAAAAACGAGTCGCAAGGCTCGAATTCGCAAGGCTCCACTTCCCAAATTGTCCATTTTTGTGGACAATCTGAGCGTGAATTAGAGAGACATTACTGTAGAAGGGAAGCGATTGAACCGTTCTATCCGGGGAAAGGATCCGACGGAGAAAAAAAAATAGGTGAACAATCTCGACGAGCGCATGAATCAGCGATACGTGTCATTGCTACCGTTCCTCGCGACACCGTCCTCGCATCGTCGCTATTTTTTTCAGTAATGCATATGCATGTCTTCATTGAATGTTTACACTTAGCATCGATCATCTCTGCCCCTGTTTCCCAACGCCTAAGCTCTCCCATGCTTCTCGCATTACGTATCACAATGAGATGCAGAATCCGGACGATCGTTCGTCTCGTCTCGGCGTCGAGATCTCGTTATTAATCAGCGCGTGCTCGCGCGCGCGCGGCCGCGAACTCTTTAAAACTTTTCATCGGAGCTTAATGACACGACAATAAGAGCCGGTCTCGACGCGGCATTTGTTCCAGCATTAAGTTTACTTCGTTCTAAATCTTCGCTGACACTCACCAAGCCGCGAATTATAAATCGTAGAACGGCTCTCTGGGTCTCGGCGTTGCACAAGAAAATGTGTCGGCTCGCGCGCCCGCGCGCTCGCGCACGGCAGAGGAAATGGCTGATATAATTAAGATGTGAATCTCCGCGAAACATGGCCACCACCGTGGACTGTCGCAACCATTTCTTGACCTAATTTGCATGGGATCAGACTATTTTGGAGGACGTGCATCGGTTACATAATCGAAAATTGTCTACGGGTAACGGGCGCTCTCGTTAATATCTGCCGATCAATTTGTCATCGCTAATAACGTCGCTCGGTATGCGGACAATTTTACGCCGGAGTATGTATATCATTGCGGTTTATATAGGTGACAGTCAGGCGATTACATTGCGAATCTGTCGTAACTTCGCCAGCATGCTAAGCGTAAACATTAAATATACATCGAAATGGAAATGAGAGCGTAATTATAGAAATCGTATTTAGCATTAGAGTGTCCCGCGATAGTCTCTTGAAATCTACTTTTAAACGTACTGTTCCGCTCTCGTTTCGGTAATGAAACGTATTTTTGCAACTACGTCGCCGCCGTTAACTGGCTGAGCACTATTTTCTGCGAGGATTAGTTCTGTTTCATTCGAACGTCACGGAGACCGCGTCGCGTCGGCCTGGTCCGGGCCGATTTCACGTTACAAGGCTAACGAAAATTTCCGAAACGATTTCGAGCCGCGTTCTCGGCGATCTGTGACCCCAAAGCAAACGTAATGACAGGCTCGGAAATTCACGGTTATATTACGTTACTAGCCGATCGAAACGTTCTCGCATCTTTACGGCCATTTTAATCGGTCTCGACTCGTTGCGAGGAATCGACGATTTGCCGAAAGCGGAAGAAAATCTCAAGGTTTCTTCTGGTCAACGTGGAACTTTCAAGTAATTATTCGAGATTCCGGTGAACGTATACAGGGCATCCGAAAAATGTCTCGCAATCCGAAAGTAGGGGATTCCTGAGGTGATATGAAGCAACTTTTTCCTTAGCGAAAATGCGATCCGCGGCTTCGTTTACGAGTTATTAACGAAAAACAGTGACCAATCAGAGGCGAGATCATTTGGCGCGAGACGGACGAGACAGATGAGCGGAACTGGGCTCCGCGCACTCGTTGGCTGGGCCGCCGCGCGCCAGCCGAGCTCGCCTCTTATTGATCAGTGTTTTTCGTTAATAACTCGTAAACGAAGCCTCGGAGAACATTTTCGCGAAGGAAAAAGTTGCTTCAAATGACCTCAGGAACCTTCCATTTGCGGATTGCGAGACATTTTCGGGACACCCTGTAGTGTTTATCGTTCCGATAAGCGAAATTATTTCTTCCGATTTATTATGAATTTATCGTTCCGATAAGCGAAACTATTTCTTCCGATTTATTATGAATTCATCGCTCCGATAACCGAAGCTATTTTTTCCGATTTATTATGAATTTATCGTTCCGATAACGAAAACTATTTCTTCGAATTAATTATAAATTTATTATGAACTCCCGAAATATCGAAAGTCGACGTGAAACTTTCAAAAAGTAATATTTTTAATCTATCTATATCTATCTGTTTTAATTAATTTTTAATCCATCGTCGACGATCTACGGAAATTGAAAATTACATGAAATTTAACAATTATCGCGTCGCCTGGTTAAGAAAATATTATGTTAACCTTTCGCAAGCGATCCAATCACAATATGATAGACGCTCGATCTGCTCGATCGAATACTTCTCGCTTAGGCTAACACTTGTAAGCCCGCATTTCCGTTCTCGTTTCAATAATAAAGATCATGGCATGCGTTCTCTACCATCGAACAGTTTCAGTTAGGTTCGACTTGCTGGAAACGATTAAATGTTTATGTTTCCTGGGTAAATAGAATTTAAATGATAGTAACAAA